AACATCCCGCTGCTCTGACTGCAGCGCTGAGAGGGACTCCTGCGGGAGAACGGGGTTGGTGTGGGGGAGGCGCCCCACGGCAGAGTAGGAACGATACATGCTTTCACGTAAGAGTCTCCAGAAGCCGCCAGTGACACCGTAAAAAGTCGCCAGATTTGTTGCTAGTTGCTTTTTTGAAAAATTGTCGCTGGAGGGGTCTGAAAAGTCGCTGAGTTGGCAACACTGCACCTGCAGCGCTGGCTCGCTCTGCCGTATTTTTTCTTCTTCTTCCCCCGCTTCAGTCAAGTGGATGTGATGATGGCAGCGGTGGATGACGCATTAATCGCGCGACACAACTAATCGATGATGAAATTCGTTGCCAACGCTTTTTAAAAGTCGATTTTTATTGATTTTATCGATTCGTTGTTGCAGCCCTAGTTCTGAGTTTCCCTTTTTTTCTCCAGCTTAGTTAATTTTGTTTTAGTGGCTGCAAAATGCTGCTACACTTATAAATTAACCTATTAAATTAACCAGTAAGATCCACATATGATGGTGTAACAGCATATAGAGATAGATACAGTTTGTTTTCATAATGTTTTACATTTTCTCTTGTTAATTGTTTTAAAGTTAGCCTTTCCATGACGATAGCTGCATTATTTGTTGGTCCATTTTCTATAACAAAGACTGTCTATATGGAGGAGAGAGTCAGATATTTTAAGTTCAGCAAGATTGTAAGTTACTAAACTAGTTTTAAACTGGTGCTCATCCATTTGAGTTAATTTATGTAAAACTGATATTTGAAACAAATGTCTGATAATCTTTGTTTGAAAAATTGCTCAAGATTAGTTCTCGTTAGATCTGAGGTTGCCAAAATAACCAATACCTTGACATAATCAGTGAAGACCAACTATATTTTCTAAAGATTCTCCTTTTCATTAAAACTAAGGTTAGCTTCACCTGACCACAATGGCACTGGCAGTTATAAAGAATGCATACATTTTTGAGGATACCGCCTGCTGATGAGTTGATGAGGGCAAAAATATGATATATTATAATAAGTTACATAAAATTGCTATTGTTACTATTTTCCATTAAAGCTTTGGGGAAGTCCCCTCACCTCCTATTCCCTCAAAATGGTTTGGCCACCAACAGCTTCTTTAAAGTTTATTATTTACGTGGATAAAAGAAATGAGGCTGTGCTGCAGGTAGAGACAGGAAAATCCTGGGCTTGAATTTCTCCCTCAGCAGCGGCTCAATCACTTTCATGTAGAAAAAGTTTCCCGTTCTCACCTGCAAACAGCCCTCTCTCTGTGCAGGCTGTCATCAGCGTTTGTTAGTGCTGTAATGACTAAGAAACTCAGCAGTTTCTGTCATGGACCTGTTGGGTATTTTTGCCAGATGAAGTTATAATTAGGAGTGATTCAATAGGTGTTGTTAAAGGGCTGCACTGTTTCCAATTTGCTCTAGACTGATGTGAACTGCTGTGAACTACCAGGGGCGTTCACAGCTTTACCTACAGGATCTGGGCTGAATGCTAGCGGAATGAAAAGATCCTGCTGTAGAACCCCAACTGCTTAAGAGACGTTTTAACATTCACGTTTTTGTGCTCAAGATATAATTAGGGTTAGTTGCGACTGGAGCAGGTATGGAAAAGCCAAAAGTGCCATGAATTTAGTACATTAAAAAGCTGCAATATTTCTATTTGTAAGTGTAAACATTTCAGCTGTACTGATGATGCATGCAAACAAATTTATCCTAATTAAGTAATACATAATTTTGTTTAATTATTAGATCCACATTTCTACATTATGGCTCAGTAATCAATTAATCTCTTGCTTTACATATCAAAATCTTTATTGCTACTTGAAAGTTAGTCATTATGGTTTATATTTTTAGGGTTAACTGCAGCTGACGTTTATTTGTTCTCATGTAAGCAGGCAAAAAGAGTACTTAAAATTGTCAATGGGGCCCATATCCTGGCAGTAAAGGTTGTCAGTGTGACCTTTCAGGGATGGCCAAAAAAAACAGCAAACCTCTTTATTGACAAATCAAAGACAAAAGAGGGGTTTGGAGTAATGTTCTCCATAAGGGAAATAATCAAGAAAAAAACTAAATGCTGACTGGTGTGGCGTTCTCCCCAGCATATTTCAGCTTAGTAGTCCCTTATTTTTTAAAACTGTCCCTGCTACGCTGGAATTAAGGCTGCTAAACTAATTTTATGAGCATATCAGCCCTTTGACTGACTTCTGACCCCCTCCCCTGTGCTCTGTCCAGCACGTTTTACCACAAACCCTGGTTACACTGACATTTTAAAAATTATACTTAAATAAGGCCGATACATTGACTTTTGACCATAAGAAAGACGTATGCTTGAACCAGATCCATGTAACCCTGTATTTATTTAATTGTTGTTTAGTTTTTTTGTTTTTATTTCAGTCAGTTTCATTTCTTTATGGCATGATAACTCGACTAAGATTGTTTGTTGACCGATGTTTTCATGGATTCAATTTTGATTTCAGCTCATTTCAGCGTGTTCTAATGCTTTAAATTTAAACCCTTATTATGTAGCTCTGGCTGAATATTTAGGACCGTAGTCCTGTTGAAGGGGAAATTTGCCATAATGTCAAGTATTTTCCAAGATTGTTATGATTTCAGTTCCATTCATCTTCATATCATCTCTTTACTGTTGATCCTGGAGAAACAACGAGTCCTGGATTTTCTCTTGGTTTCTTTCAACAATAGTTTTCCTCCTCCCTTGAAAATTTTTGCTCTTTCAAATGCATTGCACAGTGGGCCTCTTGGCTGCAGTTTCTGGCTGGCCCATCAGTTTAGGTGGATAGAAAATATCTTGGTACTACAACAGGTCTGCCCAAGCTGCTCTTTGCATTATTAGATGCTGAACTGAATGTTGCTTTGTCAGATATTTTTATATAAAACACAATATTATAATATTTGATGTGGTCTGATGGCTGTTTGGTGCATTATATTTAGTTGTAGCAGTAAAAATGTAATGCCAGTTTTCAGTTTTTCATTTGGAAAATAAATATCTTTGATCATTTTGCCTCTTATACACAATCATACGCTGCTGTGTGTTTTAGTATACTGCTCTATAAAATGACAAAATGACTTTCTTCATGGAAACAGCGTCACTGACTAATTTTTCCCTGTTTCTTGTGCTAATGACAGGGCCCATGACAACGATGTGAAGGAGGCCAATAAAACCAAATCCACCCCTCCCCACCGGCCTTCCTCTCTGCAGTCACAACCTCCGACTTCTCACCTCTCTCCAATATCTGCCATCCAGAGACCCGCCTCGTCTTCCTCTTCCTCCTCCTCCACCTCCTCCACGCCACAGTTGCTTTTCCAGCCAGACAGCTTCTCGCACCTCTCTCAGCATTCCCCATCTCTGTCCCAGCTCCAAGCACTAGCTGACTCTCAGGCTTTGGGCTCAGTGGTAAACATGTCTCAGGACTTCCTTCAGAGCCACAGGATGGGGCTCCTAGCCGGGCCCCCATCCATCACTGCTGGGGGAGCTTTCCCCTCCTACCCAAGCCTAACCGCTGGTCTTCAGCCTGGGGCCCGTGCTTTGCCTCTTCAGAGCCCCATATCTGTGCAGATGGCCCTCGCTGCAGAGCCACGGCACTGTCTGAGCATGGCTTACAGCGGGGGCTACCTCGGGGCTCATCACACGTTCACAGCCGGCTGCTTTGACAGGTGACGCCAGGAGACGGAGAGGGAGCACAAACCCATACGGGAGTCCACCAGAATGCTTCCGTCCCACTTTCCCACCCCGAAATACCCATTTACAGACCTCCTCTCCCTCTCCGTCAGCACAGCAACACCTTCAGCCACCCCAGCTTCCCCGCCGCTCTCCCACAGACGCCTAAAACGTAAGCAGAGGGCCAAAGGCAAGACAGACCCAGTGGAAGTCATCACGCTGACATGACGAACGCTCCGCTGCCTCGAGTGGAACCCTGAGGTGCTGCAGAAATCTTTCCACCATATTCTGAACTGGCTTTATACATGTGTGTTATTATAAGACTGTCATCACTGTGAATGAGATGAAAGCAGCAGTGTGATCAAACACCCACCTCATTCAGTGTCTGCTCTCAGTTGTGCGTGATAGCGGAGCCAATTTTAGAAGTGCACAGAACACAACGTTTCTGTGGTGAATGCGTCTTGCTGCTCAATGTTTTTATTTTTCTTCTAATCCCAAAAATGTAACATTTTATAAGAAATCTGGCTAATTATATTTTTATGTAAGCTGACATTTGACTAAAGATATCCCGAAGTAAATGGAGGCATAAAATGGTTGTAAATGCCTTTGAAGATATTTTTATTCCTCTCTCATAAATCAGCTAACATTTGATGTAAAGAGCTGAAAGGCTTCTCTCATACTTCCCACCAACATAAGACCTCAGAGGAGACCAAGAACTTGTTGTTCTGTGCACAGCAGGTGACATGGATTGGCTCGAAAAGGCCTGCTGTTTTCACTCTTTCTCATTCTCTCATTCTCCCAAAGTTGAGCCTTCACACATGCAGGTTTAAATGTGGCTCTCCTGCAAGCTTTCCTCATACCGAAGTTTTCATTTCTTTAACACAAACTGATGTGACTGGACCAGCCTGGCGATGATGATGATGATGATGCGGAGGTTTGTTGTATTGTACATATGAAATGCTGCTGCCTTCTTAAGAACTGTTGGTTCTGTCTGTGTTTATGATGTTTACATGAACCACTATCAGGGACTTTATCAAGATTACTTGAATATGATGCCATTGAAACATTGTTATAGCTTTTATTTATAACTTTTTTTTATTCTCTTGTTGCGTTTGGTGTAGTTTAGCTTTTTAAACCAGCGTAGAAATCCAACATTTAATAAACGAGTGTAGTTTTCTTTTTCTGTATGTTCAGGCTCAGGTTTTAAGGCTGAAGCTGCCTTTTTTTAATCGTCTCTCCTTTTTGGGCTTTAAAGTGGGTGCTACTGTAGCATCTACCCCCCCACCCCTTTATCACTGGATTATATTACTTGTTTCTGACTCACTAAATGCGTTAGCTGCATAAAGGGAAAGGAAAAAGTTTTGTAGCGTCTGGTTTCACATTTAAACATCTGCAGGCAGTCATCTGTAATTGCTTCCCAAATTTGTAAAGCTGCAATCCTCCATCTTCCACTTCCTGTTGAAGCGTAAACACATTCCTAGCTTCCCAGAGTTGATCTCGAGGGTTGACCACCGGTCACCACGCTGGAACTTCACGTGTTTTAGGGCTCTATTTGGTCTAAATTAGGACTTCAGTTGTGAATTATTTTCTCAAAGAATCATGAAATATAATATACTGGAAATGGAACCTAAATAATAATTACCGGTACCTGTAGAAATATGAATTAAAAGATAGTTATAGATAATTTCAAAACAACTTTTAAAGTTTAAAAAGACAGGAATGTTCAATTTTTGATTCTTTTGTGCTAATGACAGCTAGCCTTTTCTGTTACTGTACAAACCCTGAGGAAACGGTACCAACTTCATAGGCAAATTGAAATAACTGTAAAATGTTGACATATTGTTGACAATTAATGTTAAATTTGACTTTTCTTGAAGTGAGGCTTCCTGAATTTCCTACTGAACATTGTTTCCCCCACAGATTGTGAAGATATTTGTTGTTGAAATGACCTGAATTAGCTAAATCAGCGTCCGTCTTACTAGCTGCTAGCTTTTCACCAGTGTCTTTTTTTTTAAGTTACAGCACTATGATTTAGCAAATCAACATGAGCTCTTCCTTCATAAGAAGCGGAAGTGACTTGATAAACACTAAACTAATAAATCAATTGAGGTGTGTGTATAGGGTAATGTGCTGTGTGTATAATACAAATGGTTAAACATTCATTAAAAACATAAAGTAACATTTATTTGGCACAAGGTGAAGCAATCAGACCCGTTTGTTTCCATAAACGCTTATTCAGGGTGAAAAGACAGCAGATAGAACCACATTGCATTTTGTTTTCTGATCAAAAAGTCAAAATCCCTTCTCTGACTAAGGGGATGGTTGCTGATAACTTCCTAGAAACTCTTTACATATCTTAATTTATTATGTCTTCTACTAATATGGGTGGAAAAGTAAACATTTCAATTAAAATCCAGCAAATCTGGATGCTAATTGAACTATTTCAGTTTACTTTGGAGGATTGCTGATTGCTTGTTTTGGAGGCTCTAAAAGTTAGGGGGAAAAAAACAAAGAATCAAACTATCTGAATATTTAATGTTTTGGCTTTAAAGGTAAATGCACAGTTTGTTGTAGACACAGCTTTACACGGATTTCTGCAAGTTGAAGCTCCTGAAACATTCAGTAGCTGAAACAACCTGCTTCAGTTGGTGTGTTTATTCCAATTTACTGGAAAGCTATTTTTTTCCTGTCTTAAATGAATTCAACTCTGTTCTTTATGTTTTCTTCTTTGTGTACCATTTTGTTATATTTTATACATTCCATATATTTGAACTATGGTTTAATTTTATTATTTCTGCTGTTGATGTAAACTAGATTAGTAGTTAGTTTTGTTTGCAACTTGTCATTGAGGTGTCAAAAGGTGCAATAAGTTGTCTTTGGGTTTTTGCAGACCACAGCCATCACTGACTGATGCGTACCACTGGTTCAACGCTATTAACTTATTTTGTTTCTAATTAAATGTGTCATTTAACTTGATCTCCACTATAGGGTTCTGAACAGTTAACGTGTTGCATATTGCAGCTACATGCTAAGAGTGATAAATATTACGTAATACTCTGAGCTTTGACTGTTTAAATGTTTTTTTGTTACCTGTCTTGACCATGAAAAGTGCTCATGTCACTCACCTCACAAGACAACGTGTGTTCTTCTTTGTAACAGTGATGAAATGACACCACAGACATTTATTTTTTTATTTCTTTATAACAACTTGTAGTCTTGGTTTATCTGACACTGAATGATGAAACATTTTTATTATTGTGCCACAGTGAAATAAACCCACATTTGTGTTGATTTTTGAGATGTTTCCTATCTCTTGAATAATTTAATCAAAGTGACTGTAATGTTCATGAAAATTAGGATTTTAATGTGAAGTTAAATCAAATCTTGCTATTTCTGTAGTATCTAAGCGTTTATAATGCCTCCTCTAGTGAAGTGTATAAATCCGTAACATTGAAATAAGAATTTACTTCCATTAGTCTATTCTAATACTGTAAAAATAAAGGGAAATCACAGTACCTAAACATAAACAACAATCTGTGATTGTTAGTAGATAAACCTTTTGTGAATTGGACAGCATTTATTCATCTATTCTTCTGTCTGGTGAACTATTTTTTCGACCTTATGTTTTATCAAACATTTTTCATTTAATTCAATTCAGAAATGCTTCATTGACCCCAAAGGGAAATAAAAATTTGTAGAAACTTGGTTAATTTTAACAAGTTATTGTAGATGTTGATAGCTGTAGCCAGAAAGGATCTTCTGTGGTGCTCTATCTTGGACTGGATCTCTGCCACTAACAGCTGCTGAGTCATCCAAGTATTTTTTGAGATGAAAGGACTCTGTCTTTTACTGGAATCTGTCTTTTACTGGAAGTCTGAGGTGCACAGAGTTAAAAAGTAATGGTGAGAGAACCGTTCCCTGTGGTGTTTCTGTGCCTCTGACTACCTCATTAGACAGCTGACCTTTCACTCTCAAAAACTTGTCTGTGTATCAGGTAATGGATCTAGGTCTCCACCTGAGTCTTCTGTTTTCTTCTGAAAGAATAGATAAGACTAAAGGAGAAATCAAGAATTCAATTCTAAAAGTGTTTTTTGCCTTGTCGAAAACACTCGCCCTCTCTACTTTAAAAAGAAAATGCACATGCACAACGCTGTACCCGCTTCCGAGAGGGAACACATATTAAACGCGTGCAAGAGCATGCAGAGCCCATTTTATAATGTAATAACTGCGCAATTTAAAAGTTGGTGCTTGCATCACACATACAAGCTTACTTACCAAAAGAGGATTTGCTATTTTTCAACTATGTCAGACTCTCCACCGGTAAGTGAAAAATTTGGGACGAGCATTAAGTACGGCCTTATGTAAACATATCACCAGAATGATTGACAATTATGAGGACCACTTATCTTGATGATCCACCCGGAAAAAGAACATCCTCCACTATACCTTTAATATTCATTTCATTGATTCTGGAAAATTGAATCTAACAAGATTATTATGGTGGATAAAATGCTTATTTTTTTACTTTTTGTCAAAAGTAAATTTTGTATTACTCATTAGTATTTATTGCCATTTAAAGTGGTTAAATTAAGGAGCCATATATCACCTGTACATAATTAGAGCATCATTACCAAGCATTTCGAGAGAGGATTTTCCCTGTTTAAACCTCAGACATTCAGGATGGGGTGCTTCTGATTGTTGAAGTAAGAGTGAACACCATGGTGACATATTAAGAGCAGTTTAAGGCCTTCAGAATGAAGATTGCAGCTTTAAAGAAACTAGGAAAAAGAGCAGGACTAATTTTTTCTTTCAACCATAATTCAATTATTTGGATACCAGAACATATGAGAAATGTTTGTTCCAAATCAAATAAGACATCCCAGGAAAGGAACAACTATAAGGCTCTCTAACTGAGAACCTTTGAGATCATCGGACAGATTTCAGTGGAGGAAAGGTAAATATGGGTCTTCATCCAGCCTGCTGACTAATGGCGTAGAAATAAACCAATGGGCCATATTTTACCCCATAATTATAAAAAGTTAGGATTTGCTGTTGAAAAGTTTTTTTTTTTTCACTCTACAATTTGGTTCCCTTTTCAGCAGATGGCGCCCCAGGCAGCTGCTTGTGTCGCAAAGCCAGACCCTTCTTGGTATGTTACCTAGGTGCATGAACTTTCCCTCTCATTTCTGAAATTGGATCAGAGCCAGTTGTTTCATTCACCATTGATGAGTGAAATGATTAATTCCTGAGATGTATTCATCCCCAGACTTCTAACAAAGTCATCATTCAGCCCCTAATCTGCTTCATCTTTACTTCGCCTCCATAGACCAGTCAACACTTACTGTGTTTCTATGCTTTGCCCACTCAGTGACGAGACACACTGTTACACATGAGACATTATGCTCTGATACAATGCTAGCCTCACTGCCTTCATCTCACACTTTACACTAAATGCAACCATTGAGCTTTACAACACAACAGAGTACAGTGGGGAATCCTCGTGATAAGGAATTT